CATCAATAAGATTTTCACACATTGTACTCTTTTTCCTTCGTTTAGTTTTTTTTTTGTCCCACTGGGTATTACCTGGCAAGGTTTTAACGAGGCAGTGTCGCACGCATGTCAGTGTTTTATACACATAATTTTATGTTACACATGGTTATGCGCTCTTTTTCCCTTCGACCATTTTTTGTCCCACTAAGTTTTACTGGCAAGGTTTTTAACGAGGTATATTCCATACATTGTGGTATTCAAGGGAAAGTGTTGTAAAAGTTTGAAAGTGGAGCCCAGAAGTTGGAACGTTATTTCCTTACACCTTCCATGAGCCTTCTTTCTCTGGTTGTTTGCCAAGGCTTGGCCTATAAACAAGGCTACCTTCTCATTTGTAATGGATACAGAGTAAGCTTTAATACAAGCAGATGAAGATCATTTCTGTGATAACACTTCTGCCATTGCTATTACAAAGAATTCTGTGTTCCATCAAAAGACCAAGCACATTGACAGAAGGTATCATTTTATTAAGGATGCATTGCAGGAAGGAACCATTGATTTGGTGTATTGTCCCACTAAAGAGCAGGTAGCAGATATCTTCACAAAACCTTTGGCTAAGGATCACTTCAACTATCTCAGGAGTATGCTTGGAGTGAAATCAGCTCAAGACTTAAAGAGGAGTGTTGAATTATAAGTCTGTAGCTGATTAGTATTAGTGTAATAAGATGAACTTTATGCGTGTATTCACTTGAGCATATTTGCCAAGTGTGAGGTCAAAATAGTCATATGGATCTCAGCCATCCATTCTTACATACAGACAAATATATACAAAACGTCTGGCACACAGACTGTGTGTAAGCAGAGCATTTTTCTCATTCTATCCGATTCTTCTATTCTTCTCTTACAAAAACCATTCGCAAAAACCCAGCTAGAATATCAGAAACTCTAACAATTTCCTGAGTATATGTATGTAAATATTGATGCGTGAGAACTTTGCATTGTTTTTGTTTGCTAGTATACATGTTAGGGAAATGGATTTGATTTTTCTAGCATGCCCTTCTTGTGATAAAATTGATGCTTAATTTGTGACCTGAGAGTGAAGGGAGCCATGTGACTACCTTGGGTTTCGATCCCCTAAACCTCCGGAGGGGCTTGTACGGACGAACTTGTACTGATGTAAAAGGTATGAGTTTATGTGGTATGGAGTTAAAAAGGACACTCTCGCTAACCCTTACTGTTGTGTTGAGTTAATAATCGGGTATGGGTAGTTGGTCTGTAGGAACCGATCACATAATTTGTGGTTATTGAGGCCTCGTATTCTATCAACTTGCTTGAGCATGAAAGCTAATTTGACTCAACCAATTGTTTTTGTAGTGCATTCTTTCCTCTTAGAGTGTTAACTATATTCTTATTTTCAAACCCCGCTGTGGTGGCCCTTTTTGGGCAGTGGTTTAGTGAAGCTCACCCCTACACTTTCAGGTACTGTGCCAGACACCTTGTTGGACTGAGGTGATCAAGGGCGTGTCCGTGATCTTGTCAATTATCTTTACTTCTATTTTGTCAACTAAGGTTTAGGTTCTTTTCAGTCTTCTACGGTTGTTGTTTTGGATGTTTTGAACTGTGTTCTGAAAAGAATTTGTTTTGTTGTCGGAACCTACTGTAAATTTTGTAGTCTTGTGGGTTTTGTAAATAAAAGGTTGCTTGTAAATATAACGAGTTTATTTCTGTTTCCGCGCCGTTTTCAAAGTCTTATTCCCAACTCAAAAGCCAAGCTTACATTTTATTGAGAACTTGGTGTTATGATGTTCGGTTTTTAACATTGTCGTTGTCGATAGGGCACACTGTTACCTGCCCGTTTTCCATGGCGTGACACAGGTTGTTTAGTATTTCCTGTCAGATAGCTATATTTGCCACGGCTAACAACAAATGTCTCCACAAGCTAAGGATGGAAATGGGTTGAGTAGGGGCCGAGTATGACAATACCATCTCTGTCCTCGCTCTCCATCCCCGCCCTTGTCCCCGTTTAATAGGTTTCGGGGAATCGCTGTCCCCATCCCCGTCGGGGGACTATCCCCCATACCCACCCCAAATCCCCGATTTTTTTTCATAAAAAAATATTTATCATATATTTTAACATTAAATTTCATATTAAATTATCATTCAACACATCCAAATTAACTATAAAATTCAACTCAACTATTCAAAATTACATCAATATGAGATTCCAAAGAAGATTAGGAAGAATTCGGAGAGGGAGGTTAACTTAGGATTAAACATAAATATTATAATTATATTTATTTATTTAAATATAAACATATATATTTTCGGGTCGGGTTCGGGGATGGGGACGCCAATACCATCCCTTCCCCATAGTTGCAAAAGGAAACGTCGGGTTTAGCATGGCGTTGTTGGGATCGGAGCACTACAATATGGCGGGAGCACAGTGGCGGTCGTCGGGTTGTGAGAGAGCTGCCGCAATTCTAGGATCGCAACTTTGATACCAACTTAAAATACGCGTATTAGGGTAGAATAATTCAGAGTGATTTATTCTTCTCTCTAGGAGAGTATTTATGTGTATAAATATACAATTCCATCTAATACGGGAATCCTGTAATTATACAAGATTACAATTCGTAATTTATGTGTATAAAAATGATCAAATTTCATTATTATTCTATGAACCATTGTGTATATTCTATATTTGCCCTTTTCCTCTGTGATACATCTCTACCTTTATTTTGATTTTTTTAATCTTAAAAAAATCTAAATTAGGTCCATAGAAACTCACAAATTCTCAATCTAGTAATAATTGAAAATTTGAACACAATGAATGAGGAATTATTCACTAGTTCAAAAACTAGATTTCATATCTAACATACCTGTAACTTTCATTTTAAGTTTCATGCAATTGAATTATTTAGTGGAGCAAAAACTGGTACTAATATCCCCAAAATCCAAAATTCAATTTTGGAAAACAAAAAACATAACTTCCTCGCCAACCTGTTACAGTTTTGGATTCTTTTTTTTTTTCTGTTCAGAGGTGTCAGATATAACTGGTTTCTCTTTATCTCTTTCATCGCGTTCATCATGTGAACTGATAAAAGAAATGGTTTAATAGGTACATCACGACTGTATTTTACGACGCGTCGAAAGCATGCAAGAATGCCAACCCAATTGTCTTTGTCCTTCCTCATGAAAATTGCCAAAACATGTGGTTAAACAACTACAGTGGCACACAGATTCCTCACCATTTTGAAACCATGGGCACTATAGGTTGTTTTCTTGAACTTATGTACCCTTGGCTTCCCTATAAATAAATGTCTCTAAATCTTGAGAGCATAACACACTCTTAGAATTGGCTGACTTGAAATCGGAGATAGGCCTCCCAGAGGCCAATGGAGATGGGTGGCAGGGAAGGATCCTCATAATTTCTCCACATTTTCTTAATTGAAAACTAAGAAGGTGACATAATAGGGGCTCCCTCCCATGCCACGCATTTCTATTGTTTCTGGGTTTCTCTCCCTTTTCCTTTCTTGCCAGCATTGCATGTTGAAATTTCAATCTCTGCCTATTCCATAGCTATATATGCATGTATTTCTAATTTTTTCCATTCATTTGTTATATCTATTTGTGAAGATATATTTCCTAATCACAAAGTATTTAACTACTAATAATGACACTCAATATTACCCTCATGCACTCCCAATTGGATATTTCCAGTGATAGGACATAGTGCAGGAAGTTAAAACTGAAGCCTTTTGGAAGTAACATTTTAGATCTACTAGGTGTACGAAACTGACCTAGCTTATTCTTACCGATGTATATTACATGGTTCATGTATTCATTAAACTTGTAATCTACATTTTTTTTTTAAAACCCTCCCAACGGTTGAAGAGATAGAAAAAGGATCTAAAAGATGACAACAACCAATTTGGAATCTCATTTGTTCACTTTGTAATATGCTTATACGAGGGAGACACTTTTTCGCTTCTCCAATTCTTGCTTGTTACTTTTGTTGTCAAATTTGATGAGATCTATGTTTGTTCAACCTTTTTTCCATGTAGGACTCTAGCATCTGAATTTTAAGAGTCAGTGCTAGCTCTATATTCTTCCCATGCCGGTTGAAGTAGAACGGGCCATGTACATATGCCCTTGATCAAGATAGATTGTGCTTTGCGCTCAGATACAAATACAAGATAAAACGAAGACTCACCATAAATTAAATATTAGGTTGTGAGCTATATTAGTTCAGTCACAAAATCTGTTAAGAACTGTTAGCACATGAGAGCTACATAAGAACTCCTTTCTATTGTAATCAGGAATCAGTTTCGTTTCTCTCTAAAACCCAAAAAGATTTTAGAAAAACACAAACAGTAGATTTCATGTTTGTAAAGACTGAGGATTTGAATTGTTTATGAGATCATCAGTGTGTATTTGTGTGTGTGCATATAGATGAAAGGGTGTGTAGAGGAAAATATCTGAAATGTGGACAGAGTTTAATGGAGACAATTGGGTGGGGATTGGAAAATAAGCATTTGAGGGTCACATGGTCTGTTTTCCATCTCAATCTCAAGAACTTGGTTGTTATTAAGTCTGTATGTTTGTTGGAGAACATGATGCCCAAGAATTGTTTGGACACCTACAAACTTTTTATATGTGGATAGAAAAGACTTCTTTGAAGTACAAAACAGGCTTCCGACATATCTGTTCATAGATTAGCAATGTTTCGACCACATCAATCATGTAATTTATATTACTTACATATGTATGCATTACCTGCTAAGTGTCCAATAATCAATCTTTAGACCAAATTACTGGATGGAATAAGACGTAGGGAACGGTGTTTGTACTCGGGGATACAGTTTGGTCATTTGCATGTGGAGAAGATTTATGTGAGTAGGAAGACAACCCATGTTATGTTTTGATTTCTCACAAGCTAGTATCCTTCAATGGAGCCCATCTCTGCTCCTCGAGACCACTCATTTCATGTAGCAGGCCATACTCTTTCATCTATATATACACGAGATCAGGTTCATAACCAGCAACTCAAGTCTCTCTCCTTGCCAAGCATCAAAGTCTTCTCTGTTTCCCAAGTCCTCTGAATTCTTTTTCTTGTTCTAATTTTCCACTTGAGAATATAAAAACCATGGGATTCCGGTTGCCAGGAATTGTTAACTCCAAGAAGGGTCTAAACAAGGCTGCTACTTCAAAGACCTTAGACATCCCAAAAGGCTATTTTGCAGTGTATGTTGGGGAGAGCCAGAAGAAGCGATTTGTGGTTCCAATATCATACTTGAATGAGCCTTTGTTCTTGGATTTGCTGAGTCAAGCAGAAGAAGAATTTGGATATGATCATCCAATGGGTGGTATCACAATTCCCTGCGGTGATGAAACCTTCATTCATCTCACTTCCCGCTTAAGTGCATGAATGAACGCAAATGAAGTGAATCTGGTTCATATCCAAATCAGCCTCAGTTCTATCAGAAGAACTCGCCGTGTCAAGATGAATTAGAGGCTGTGATTGATCATATGCACATTTTTCTGTTGCTTATGAATCTGGAAGCCTTCTTTGATGGTCAAACTGCCGTGAGCTGATCACGAAGATGCAAAATTTGTGAAGCAGTCAAATGACGATATCTTGAACTCTCGAAGACTATTGAGCCCAAAATCATAACTCCAATTTTGAACTGGATGACAAGAAGATTTGTCTTTTAAGCCATGTACAATTCTAAATGTTTGTTCTCCAGGAAACATGAGAAAATATAATATATTTTGATTCCTCATACTTTATTATCTAATTGTAGCTTGTTGCCTCATACAAAAATGGAATCTGGAAGTAGACCAAATTTAAACATCTCACAATCCCAAAGTTGAAGATGGCCTCCTTTCCCAATAAATTATCAGATACAGATACAGCCAAATATACTGATTTTCTGCTCAATGAAGTTGAAGATGGCTTGTATTAGAAGTAGTTCTATTCAGTGGTTGGACAAGAGGGTAAATATTGTGACTTTTCTAGACAAGATTGCTTGGAAATTCCAATTATTGGAACTTTTATACTAAATGAGAACATTAAACATAGAAAAAAATACAATTATGTTTCAGTCCCTAGTAGTTCACACTTAACAGGTCTCTTAATTTCAAAAATCCCAATAGTTTCTTGGTCCTAATCGATATCAGTAGATTAAGTAGTTGTTTCAGAGGAAGCCCCATTTCTCTTGTCTTAATCCATTGGATTCTGCATGAAGGCATAGATCATGAAGTCTTCGTCTTCAACATCAACAAGAAGAGTTAGTGCCATCACAACTCAGATAGCACTTGGTACTTGCTAAATACTTTGGTGAAAACACAAAAAGAACCCACTAATACTTTGGCATAGGATAAAAGATTCCATAATAATTTTTGAAGTAAGCCATTATACTTCAGTTCTTGTGAAAATCTGCTGCTATCTGGTGGTTAATTATATCAGAGAGCCAGAAGAAGATAGTAAACATATATAGTGCAAAATATAAGATAAGAATGGATGAGGATCTAAATTGTCTTATATATTCCCATATTCTCTTCTCCTCAAGAGAAACAACAACGTTTACATGGGGTTCAAAGAGCAAACTTGACTCTCTTTTAGTTCAAAATTGGGTCCATGTTTTCGGGAACAATGGTCATCAAGAGTTCATGACATTGTCATTCGACTGCTTCAAAAATTTCAGATCTTTCTGCTCAGCTCATGCAGCTTGCAATTACCAAAGGTGTCGGTTGATTACTGAAGGCTTCCCAGACTCACAAGCAACACAAGATGTGAGTGTGATCAATTATAGCCTCTTCTTCATCTTCACTTAGTGAGTTGTGGTCAAAATGAGGAAAGATTCGGATGCAGAAGGCTTCCCACATTAACTTCCTTAGCATTCACTCATACATGTAAACGGGAAGTGAGATCAAGGAAGGTGTCTTCACTGCAGGGGATAGTAATTCCACCCATTGGATGATCATATCCAAATTCTTCCTCTGCTTGATTCAGCAAATCCAGTAATAAAGGCTCATTCAAATATGATAACGGAATCACAAATCACTTCTTCTGGCTCCCCCCAACATACACTGCAAAATAGCCCTTTGGGAGGGTCTTTGAAGAAGCTGCCTGGTTTAGACTTCTGTTGGTGTTAACAGTTCCTGGCAACTGGAAGCCCATGGTTTTTAAATTCTCAAGCTGAATCAGAACAAGAAAAAGAATTCAAAGGATTTGGGAAACAAAGAAAACTTTGATGGTTGGCAAGTAAGAGATGTTGTGTTGTCGATGAACTTGATCATGAGGGTATATATAGATGAAAGCACTGTGAAAACTTCTCTGCTACATGAAATGAGTGGTGAAGACAATGGATTGTGAGAAATCAAGAGATCACATGGGTTGTCTTTCTAGTCACATAAATCATCTCCCCACAGATTTCACATGCAAATGACCCAACTGTATCCCTATGTCAAAACATCATTCCCTACATCCTTCAGGTAACAGACAGAATCACAAGAGAAATATCAACCTAGTAATTTGTTATGAAACATAAGCCTATTTAAAAATAAATAAAAATTAGAAGCATGCTTTAGGTATCCAAACTTCTCTGTGTTCACAAACTGAATTGACCAAAGTGCACTAATTAATCAGTTTGTGGATCAGGCACTCTAACCACTGCATGGATACTTGTCCTTCATGCTCAATGAATGGAAAGACCTACACATCACTGACAAGGACTGGTGGGCCTGGATATGAAAATTGGTGATGTATAACTTGTTCGGGAGCACCAAACCACCCTAGCATGTGGCTTTGTTGTTTTAAATCAGTCCACCAGTCACCAAAGCACCCTAGCATGACCATCAATGTCCCCTGTCTCCAGTTGTAAATAAAAAGCTTGAAACCGATAGATGAATGAATATATAACTCAGTTGGTTTCGCAACTAATAAAAATTGTGACAACAAAGATAAGTTCCTCAAGCATGCCCCTACTGGAAAGGAGTAGGAAGGCAAACCCATGTGACCTCTTGAATTCTCACCAGCAAGATTGTCCCGCATTGGTGCCCACCTCATTGTCTCCTTACCACTCATTTCATGTAGTTCATGATTTTCCGCAGGTCCTTTCATCCGAATATAAACACATGACCGGCCATGAGCAACTCAAGTCTCTCCTTCCAAAGCATCAAAGCATTCTCTATCTGTTTCCCAACTCCATTGAATTCTTTTTCTTGTTTTGATTCCTCTTGAGTCTAAACACCATGGGGTTCCGGTTGCCAGGAATTGTTAATGCCAAGAGAAGTCTAAGTCACATAGCTGCCACAAAAACCTTAGATATCCCCAAAGGCTGTTTTGCTGTGTATGTTGGGGAGAGCCAGAAGAAGCGCTTTGTGATTCCGATATCATACTTGAATGAGCCTTTATTCCTGGATTTGCTGAATCAAGCAGAGGAAGAATTTGGATATGATCATCCAATGGGTGGAATCACCATCCCCTGCAGTGAAGACTCCTTCCTTGATCTCACTTCCCGTTTACATGTTTGAATAAACACTAGTGAAGTTAATCTGGGAAGCCTACTGTATCCGAAGTATTCCTCATTTTGACCACAACTCACTAAGTCAAGATGAAGAAGAACATGCATGATCACACTCACATCTTGTGTTGCTTGTGAATCTGCCAAGCCTTCGGAAATCATCAAGATGCTTGTGAGCCGGGATCCAAAGTTACGAAACTTTGTAATACAGTCGAATTACGTATCTTGACTCCAATTTTGATCTCAAAGAGGACATTATTTTGTGTTTATACCCCATATACAGTTCTTAATTTTTTGCTCTTCTGGAACATATGGGAAGATATGAATATATTTTAATTCCTCATCCACTTTCTTGTCTTATTATCTAATTGTAGCTCAGTTTTATAATCATCAAATGGCAGTGAAGATTTTCTCAACAGTAAAATCTGAAGTAATGTTACATCTGGTTGAGAGAGGTGTAAGTTATGATGACTAATGACAATTTCCCCCTTTTTTTTCTTGACCTATATCATAACACTACCTGCAGGAATCATTAATTTGGGAGACTGGCATGGGAAATTAATGGATACAAACAAGAGTAACCATCATGCTTCGTTCATTATGAAAATCTGCTGCCATATGGCATATAACAGATCCGGTAGAAGATAACCCTATAATGCAAAATCTAAGACAAGAATTAATTAATGGAGAAGCAAAATGTCTTATATATTCCCATTTTTCCTGGAGAGAGAAAAAAATTTACATGGGGGTACAAACACAAAATTGGACTGTTTTTTAGTTCAAAATTGAAGTCATCGTCTTGGAGCTATTGGTCTTAGAGAGTTCATGATATCTATCGTCTTTCGACTGCGTCAGAAATTTTGTATCTTTGTGCTCAGCTCATGCAGCTTGACGGTTGCAGACGTTGTCCCAGATTCACAACAACAGAAGAAGCAAGTATAATCCATCATAGCCTGGTCATCATCTTGACATTCCAAAAAGAGCATGCTTTTGATATGAAGTTGGATCCCAGATTACCTTCATTAGTTTTCACTCATACACTTGAGCAGGAAGTCAGATGAACAAAGCTGTCTTCACTGCAGGGTATTGTGATACCACCCATGGAATGAACGTATCCAAATTCTTCTTCAGCTTGATTAAGCAAATCCAGGAATAAAGGCTCATTCAAGTATGATACTGGAATTACAAATCTCTTCTTCTGGTTCTTCCCAACATACACTTCAAAATGGCCTTTTGGGATCTCTGAGGTCTTTGAAGAAGCTGAATGGTTTCGACTTTTCTTGGTGTTGACAATTCCTGGAAACCGGAACCCCATTGTTTTTAAATTGGAGCTGGAAGAAGAAAAAGAATTCAAAGGAGTTAGGAAACAGAGAGAGTTTTGATGATTGGCAAGGAGATACTTGATGCTTGTGAACTTGATCATTTGTGTATATATAGATGAAATGGGATGAGAAAATTCATCTGTTACATGAAATGAGTGGCGCAGAGGCATGAGGTGGGCAACAATGAGGGACAATGGCTTGTGAGAAATCAAGGGATCACATGGCGTTGTCTTCCTACTCACATAGGACATTGCACATGGAAATGAAGGAACGTTTTCATATGTTGAAATATTATGTCCTACCTCTTTTCCAGTAGGGGCAGGCCTGAGACATTTACTTCTCTTGGCGCTCACTAGCTAACACAAATTACCCAATTGGACTTCTTAGTATTTTCTCGGAGATATGCTATGCTTGAATTTCATGGTTACTATTTAATTTGGACTAACTCTACTGCATATGTTGGTGTCTCAATTAATGCTGCTTTACAAACAAGAACTAGTGTAACACCCCGACTCCAAAGGGTAATTTTGGTCATTTTCTTATCCGGGAAGATTTTGGGACCACGAGTGGTTTGGTTGCGTAGGTGGTACTGAGACGAAACCGTAGACATGCAGTAGGCTTGAATCGGAATTGTAATGAAGTTTTGGCAATCAAATTAAGTTCGATGGCGGAACCGTAATTATTTCGAAAAGTTTGGTAAAAATCAGATTTTTTTCAGTTTTTACCCCTCACTCTCTCTCTCTCTCTCTCTCTCCCGCGTACGCTCTCTCTCTCCTCGGTTTCTCTCTCCCCGATCCGATCACTCTCTCTCTTCGATTCTCTCAACTCCGGCCACGGAAAGGGCCGGCACCGGTCCCGTTAGATTCGTCTCGACGTCCCGGTCAAGACCCACCGGTTTTCCCCGCCGGAAAACCAGATTCCAGCCGACGGTAGAGACTGGTTCAAACC